TTGGTGACCTTGGATATATATATTATTTAATCCAAATCAGTCCGGGAGGGCGGCCTAAGCAATAGAGTGCTAAGGATGGGGGAGAGAGGGAGAGGGAGAGGGAGGGGGAGGGCAATAACACAATAATGAATAGTAGATTTATGTCATATCTATTCATAAAATAGACCTCCAATTTATAAGAATGGGTCTTTGTAAATTTACATATTTTACCTCTACAGTATATAGGTATGATGGAGGCATTCTAGTATGTACATGAGTTACATGTTGGACCCATGTGTGTGGTTGGACTGCTATGAGGTATGGCTGTTGTTAGGTTGGGCGGCTATTTGTTGAAGGTTGGCATCAACTATCTTGGAGTTGGAGTATTCGATTCGTTTCTCGATTCTTTTGAGTTGAAAGGCAATGGGTTCATTCGAGCTAGTCTGTTTAGATAGATTCCTCAGGACTGATCTACTTCTCATCTATCTAAGATGCACTGTCTTCTTGGTACGTGGGATTGCAGTCTTGGGTCGTCCTAGGTAGACCCTGTGGGGCCACGTCTCCTCCTCTGCCATCCACGAGATGTCATTGTGAGTCGTGCTGACTTATTTGGGATGTATATATTAAATTTTCCTGGTTATCCTGTTCCTTTATAGCGATAGCTGTGATAAGAACAAGAGAACTAATTTTTGAAACAATTTCTGACATTCATGACTATTAATACGTAATAATTAATCACTTCTTGAGTTTCGTGCCAAAGTCGTAATAAAGTTGATGTGGACACTTATTTGAATTTTCTTCCAAATTCACCTACCATTTCCTTAGTGGTGTTGAGCATAGAAAGGGGAAGTTTCTGAATTCTGCTGACGAGGAGGCTCAGCATTGGTATTCCTTGCTACGAAGAAGAAGGCGAGATCTAGCTCGAAGATTGAGTACCCTTGGAAGCGCACCATACCTGAGTTGAGGGCTCATAACCTTGTAGTTGAAGTAGGGTAGTCTGAATCGAATAATGACCACTCCGCGGAAGTTTTTTTGATGGCGGAGAGTGGCTTCCAAGTGAAGAAACATTGAGTGACAGATAGAAACCGTACGAAAGATGGTCAGATGGGCCAATAGCTCTTCCTCCGACCTTTCCATAGTTGAGAGAGGGACTGATTCAAGAAATTGCTCTTGAACTCTTTCTTCCATTTGGCGAATGAGCGGGGAGTTTCTTTCAACCCTTCGGTGACTAGTGCCTCTCAGGCCGCCTCTCCACATCCACCAATGGGGAGAGAGGTCGGAGAAGAAATGTTCTCATTCGCCACTTTTGAACTGGACCGGTATGGATCCATCTTCAGGCGAGGGGACCAAGAATCCTCCCCTTATTGAGCTAGGGGATCTTAAAATCGACATTGAGACTGAATACAAATCTGTTGAGGATCCTATGTGCTTTGGAGGGCCGCCTGCAATGAAACAACGTAACCGAAGGAGAACCAACATTCCGACACTATCTGCTTTGGCTCAGGTTTTTCTTCCTCGCGAGGGAGACCTCCTTTGTGGCATGTGGCTAGGGCTGCTGGAGGAAGAGTTAGTTGCGATCTAGACTTGTGAATCTGCTCTTCAAGAGGAGGTGAAATCTCTAAAGATTGAATTAGTCGTTAGCCGGGAGGAAGTTTTGGTCTCTCGTCTTCATGTTGAAATGAATATAGTGGAAAATGTTAGGATGGGGGTGAGTTGATGTTTAAGCGGTTGTCCCAGTTGGGATATGGCCCGGCCGAGGCAGCGATTGACAATTTTTTTGAATTTTTTTTTCAGAGTGAATAATTGTATGCAGCCGAAACAAAGGTAATATATTTTAGTTCATGAATTAATTTATATATATATGCTTCATTTTGTTGTTTTGTGTCTATGTGTCCCTGTTTTCATGTGTTTTTATTGATTCTTCGATATGCCCGTTTGATTTAACACTTGTCTTGTACTTTGATGTGATGAAAATACTGTGTTGCCCCTAAATTTTTTGGCTCCTTCTTTATGTTATAAGTAGATGGAATGGGTGTCTATCTCCTCATGCTATCATTTACCTTTCTTTCGTGTGACTCCCTTCTTCTCCCATTTGTCACACCATGGCTCCTATACACTCTACTAAACTCTTCGGCATGATCTATTTTGGTGTTTCATCAATCATCTCATAAAGATAGGTGGCAACCTTGTTTAAGTCTTTTACTTTTAGGTTAGACGTCATGCTCATCATTGATGTCAAAGGGGAAAGGTTGGCAGAAAAGTATGGTGACAACTTGGTCATTTACATCGACCAATTCAGATACTGGTTGAGTTTGACATTCTGTTGTGAGATGAGCTCCATCTTCAAAAGCAACAACATCATCTCTGCTCAAGTCACACTGAACTCCATTGTAATAATAATGATCTTTGTCATTTATCTCCGATGAATTGAAATTTCTTGGTCAATTGAGTTGTTCTTCTAATTCTTTGGCTTCAAGTTTGACTAGGATGTTTATGTGAAGCTCTCGTCCAACCATAAGCTTCGGGTGGTATGGGTGGAGAACAAGGTGAAGGGCTGGCAGCCAAACTTTTTGATAACCACTTACCATCATATTTGGGGGAGTTACATCAGGTTGATTATCAAGGAAGTGGTGAGGCCAAAAATTATACCATAGCACATTTGTGCCTATGTCAGCAAGATCGAGAGGAATAAGCTCTCCGTACATCAATTTACTAGCTGAGATATCCTTGGCAGGGTCCTCTGGCCCGGAACCTTTGGGGACATAACCGAGAACTTTTGGGAATAGTTCGATTAAAAAAAGAAAAAAGAGTGGTTGGGGCAGCGACAGGGGTCAGGGAAAGGAGACCCATGGAAAAGAAAACCCTGGGGAGATATGACCCAATTGTCCGACTGAGGAAATTCTCGGGAAAGCTCGATGCCGATAGAAAAAAATTACCTCTTTTTTGCTCTTATTTCTTCCTTTTACTTATATTTTTTTTAACGTTTAAGCGGGTGCAGGGACCTTAGGTGTTACCTTAAAGGCTCCATCTAAAATTTGAAGTTTCAGGAGTCGACATCCAAAGAGGAGATTTCCTCAAGTCAATCGGTCGAGAAGAAGAGGAATACAAGCGTCACCTACATCGACCCGAGGGAATGGGTTGTCACGCAACGCGTGACTCTCTTTTGGGTTATTCCTTCTCTTGGAGGAGACGTGGGCTCTGAGGTTGAACTTCTGTAGAGGGTTGATCGGAACTTGAAGGGGAAGTCGCCTGTGGAGGAGGATTCAACGTTGTGATGCAGTTGAACATTCTGAACTAAGTCTTGGCATGTCTGTCCTACTCGGACTTATGCAAGACTTTTGACTGTTTTAGAGCCTTGACCCTCTCCATCTCCCACTACCAAGCAAAAGCCTTGATGCACGAGGAGTAGAAAAAGAAAGCAGCGACCCAAATGGTTACTGAAATATTTGTGGGTAAGAGGATGGAAAAACTACAGCTTCTACACCTGCAAAAGAAATTAAAAGACTCAACTCAGGTGTAGGAGGTTAAAGCCAAGGAATAAGACCAAATCATTGCCACCTTGACTGCTAGAAAAAAAGAGTTGGAAGCCCATGTGTCATAAATGATCCCTACAGGTGACCACATGGTGGGGCTCTCGGACCAGATCCAAGTAGGTCTCACTATTGTCGTCGAGCGTTTCGTAAAGTCTGGCCCGGTAAACTCGAAGTGGGGTAATACGACAACTTAGTGTCCTTCTTTGTGGATTCAGATGATGATGAGGTGGACGAGCCTGGAGGAGACGAAACCGATAACGATGTCGGACCTACAACTGTTGAAGATCTTGTATATATATTATTTTTATTTCTACTATTTTGAAAAATTTTTGACATCGTCTGGCCATGTTGAGCCGACGAGCATTAATATGCATAAAAACTCTGTATATATTTTTAAGAAAATGAATGGGAATTCTTCTAGCATTTTATTCATTCTTCATCTTGTTTGCCTTTTTCTGTTTCTATGGGTTGCACTTCCCTGATAGAAAAATTTATGGGTGTTCAAACGATTGGTTTAGGTAGGTTATGGGCTTAGAGGCGTGACCGATTATCTTTTAATTATGCTTTTAGTCGCATCGTTTTGACTTCCGACTGTGGCTTTTGAAGACTGTGGCTTTTGAATTTAGGTAAGATCGAGTTAACGCGCTTCTACGGTCTTATCGGTTTTTAATTCACTCTAAGACAGTGATCTTAGCACCGCAGCTAGTAGTCTCCCACATTCAGGCTAGGCTAGGCGAATTTGGGGTCGTTGTATGTCATACTTCGATTTGTGCTCAGCAATACGATCATGGTGTCATGGCTGACAATCTTCATCAATAATGGGAGGCCTGTGGATCTTGACGCCTTGGTCAACTGATCTTTGATTTGTACTCAGTCGGGCGATCTCGACACCACGACTGACAATCTTCAGCATTTACGTGAGGACATATGATCTTGGTTCCACAGCCTGCCTCCCTCTGACTTGTGCTCAGCAGACGATCTTGGCACCACGACTTGTAGTATTTAGCTTTTAGATGAGACTAGGCGATCTTGGTGTCACGGTCTGTCACTCTTTGATTTGTGCTCAGTTAGGCAATCTTGGCACCACTACTGACAGTCTTTAGCATTTATACGAGGCCTGAAAATCTTGGTGTCACAGTCCACCAATCTTCGATTTGTTTTCAATTGGATAATCTTGGCGCCATGACTGTCATACTTAAACATTTAGGCGAGTTGGGCAATCTTAGCACCACAGTGTCCCGCGTCTTCGAGTTGTGCTCAACTAGGCGATCTTGTCGTGAGGGACAGTATTCAGCATTTAGGAGACGTCGGGCGATCTTGACGCCACAGTCTACCGCTCTTTAATTTGTGCTCAACCAGGCGATCTTGGCTCCGCGCTTGACAATATTCAGCATTTAGGCAAGGCTAGGTGA